CACGTTTCCACATTTTGACTTCCGCTGCTAGGCTAGACCATAAAGCTCTGGTCTAAGACTACCCTAAACTATAGTTTACACAGCATTTTTTCTCTGCTGCCCCCCCCCGCCCCCACACAACTCCCAACTAAAGCCAAAAATCTAATTTACACAGTTTCCCCACTTACCACAAATGTAGTCAATTAGCCAAGACTATGTTTGCTCTCTGAAGTTTGCTATAGATTTGCACTGTAGCTACAAGGAAAATGTAGCAATGAGCTTAAAAACATACAAAGTGCATGTCTAAACCATCACACAGTTGCCTCAAACGACATTAATTTCAAATGGACTTGCTTATGTGGTTTCTGACACTGTAGAACATAATGTGTTACTGATGTTATCTATAAAACTGGACAAAAGTACAAATAAAATTCAGGCTTCCAAATGGCTGTTAGTACTGTTTTCAGCTCTGGACTGCACATGTTTTTTTAAGGCAACAGTACGACAAATGGATGATATCCCACAGTATGTCAAACAGAGTCTTACTGAAAATGCTCAGACCAAGTTTGGACTTTATACGTGTCTGAAAAGCCAGTTAGAGCTTCAGAGACAGAAGCTTAATCTAGAGCTAGACTACTAGCAAGTTCTTCTCAGTTCAGAGAGCTTAATATTTGTAACCCCATCATTTGAGGCAGTGAGATTAGGCCACAGACAAGCTCTGCATCAAAGTTGTACGATATGGACAGTAGCATTACTGCAACTACACTGCTACATCCTAAGATTGTTACACACATCACAATGCATGAAGAAAAAAAAAAACCCACTGACAACGATACATATAGAACACATACATTGTGATTGTTCAGAGGACTCTATTCCATACTGCTGTGTTTTGTTAAACGTTATCAAGATGATTGGCCTCACAGAAAAGATACATTCTGTAGCCACACACACACACACAACATACAATCCAAGTGCACAGGAATGTAAGGGCTGTAGGTTTTGTAAAGAAGTTAATCACCAACAATTCCCACTTCTTCTGGCTTGCTACTGACTAACTTGCTGTCATTGATGTTAAAGATTAATGGCCATGTCTTCCAAGCTGAGATTAATCCAAACACTGGCTTAAATGCTGGCTCACCGCAACAAAAATGTCACTATTCGTGTTTAAAAACACATCGTCTGAATACATCAACAATTAGCAAAGTTATTAACCTCATGGGTCAGTGCACCATCTGTGCTATTTCGACAAAAACTAACACGACTAAAGTCAAGAAACCTGATGTAGGATCAACTCCCACATCCCTGTAAATGTATAAAGAAATTAAAAGCAAAAGTTATTAGAAAGTGGTGCTCTTTCTAAGGCAAGTATAACTTCTGGGTCCTCAACTATCTTTCACGAATTAGACACAATGTTTTAACACTGCAAGGCGATTTCTTCAAAAGGCCTGTGCCCACCATGGATAACAAAGTTGTCCTCGCTGTCTTGGATTCAGAGTTTGATGTAGGCCTGTCATGACCATGAAATTTTAGTTGACAATTAATTGCCATGTATATAATAGTGGTTGACAATTGAATTTTTTTTTCCCATCGTATATAACTATTTAAGCACAGATTGGCTCTTTATCGATCTTGCTTCCGAGCTGTCGATACTTAGTAACTGAAACTGATGTCAACTGATGACAAACAGCTCAAGCTCAAATAAACAAACATTACTCACCACTGCCATCTAAGGGTTTTGTAATAGTAAATCAAAAGTTAGAATTTTTGTTGTTTTCCTAACAGCCATGATATGGCTTAATAAATGCATTTTCTGCTCTCTTTTATTTACATTTATTTACATCAACCAATGAATGAAAACATACTCAATATACATTCTGTTCATTGACAAAAAAACAGAAAATATAACTGTTGTATAATTGCGATCAGCTCAAATAATTACAGTTACATAATTATGACACCCATAATGCCCATGTGAAATTCATTGTTTTTGTGGTGTCAAAACACATACAACACACCACAGCCCAACTCACACTGAAGGTAATGGCATATTTTATCCTAGACTGTTTTTGAATGAGGCACAGAGCAGCCAACCAGGACAGAGGTCATTTGCATACATCTGTTCTAAAGGCACACCACTGATAAAACAAAAACAGCCTCTTTTTATTCTAAGGGCTAAAGAGGTTGGCAAATGGCCATGTAAAATGAACCTGAAATACAGCTGTTCTCGTACCTAAAACCACAGAAAAGTCCCAAGTGAACCTCTGGGAAAAAATACAAGAAGAATGTAGAATGAGAGCACTTTAATGGTACATGCTGCTGAAAAAATATTTCATTCATGATTCACAGCTAAGAGCAGACACTTGTACTTCCTCTCTAAATTCTGTGTCAGCATGTGTGCAAGAAATGCTTATTGGGCCCCCAGCAAAGATAAAGACCCCCAAGGGACAAATGGACGACACCTCTGCCACACCCACTTCCCAGTTTGCCTTTCACGGCATGTAGCCTTATCTCATGCAGTTGGGAGGAACTTCTGTTTAACATAACCAATAAGCTTCAAAACTACTGAAACAAAGCCTGACTACAGAGGACCTCAAAGTGACCTCACATTTAAGTGGACATTCAACAGTATGTGCAAAAGGAAATAACACTACAAGTTCCTGAGTCAACTACAGCGTATAAAATAATGTGCACTGTATTTTTAAGGGACATTTACCTCTACAGAAAGAAGACAGTGAGATTATTTTTGTCCTTAGCTACAGTAACTCATTCAACAACGTCATTAAGTATTTTAAGGTTTAGTATAATAAAGACCTCATCAACAGTGATGACATTCTGCATAATTAGTAGCCATATGAATTTTACTGGTTCTAAATGGTAGTCTGAGAAGCAAACGCAAACAAATTTGGACTTTCTTCAGTTCTGAAAAATGAGTAGTCCGATGTGATCAAAACACTGAATTTAACACTGAATTTAACACTGAACCGATTTTGTAGTCATACGGTTTAAGCAATTTGAATTTTTTTTCAGATCTCTGCACAGGCAAGCTCAGGCAACAACTGGACCAGAGGAAATTTAAAATTATTATCCAACATGGAAGTGATGAGTTAAGTCAGAGCACCATAGCTAACTCAGCCTAAGAGTTGACTGTTGATTGGTGTAAAGGGTGGGGGTGACAAAAAGAACTTGCAATAACAATTATGCAATCCAAGAGCAAAATTTCAGACAATACCACGGCTGGAGAGCATGACTTTACAGACCATCCAAACTCAATTATACAAACAAATTAGTTAACTGCAATTTGTGATTATCACCTTAGTTCACCCAGTCTATTTAAAGATCTCAGCAGCTATGGCTGCAGAAGCTCCAGTGGCCTTGGCTACCTATACAAACAAAAAGATGAGACAGACTAATTCAGGATTAAATGCTCTTTGGTTACTTAATTGATACTGTAACCATAACAGATTTTTGCCTCCAGTTCTGACAGTGCTTTATCTTATATTATACTTAGTAATATAATCAGTTAGCCAGAGTTTATCTGTATGTCAGCTAAATCTGTCAGACTATAGTTTTAAGTCGGCCACGAACACTGTTCATCACGACATCAGAAAAACAGCTGCATGACTACGTATGATGCTTTCCTGTCCATTACCTAAGAAGATAAGTTATTCTTGTTCAAACAGACCCCAGAAACTGGTCATTTAAGAGTGTATCTCAACAAGCTGGGGAGACAAGATGTAACTAATCTTACCAGGGCAGGTAAGAACATGATGGATTTGAACAGGATATGATGTCCATGACCCTGCTGCTGTTTTCACTTGCAGTTTTCAGAGGCCTTGAGACTGTCTGAAAACAGCCTCGTTTATTTATTCTGTCAGACTGACCTTTGTCGTCCTCACGTTTCTCAAAACCAAGCGAGGCACAAAAACCATGTGTGCACCTTTGCATTTCACCTTCCCCAAGTGATCTGACTAGCGCCAGGATCGTAACAGTACTATGAAAGAAGCCAGCCAACCTAGAAAAAGCTTTCAGTGAGATACAGTATCCAGTGAATTCACATCTTACCCCAGTGAATAGTGAATGTTATGCTAAAAGACTGCATCACTGTGCTGAAAAGCAAGGATAGCGATCTGTGGTTTCATGGTTCAAGATTTGTTTTGCAAGCTCACTGCAGGTTAGGGGCTGTTTATTATTAGTAGTATTATTGAGTAATTCGGCTCATGTATAAGTGGCTTGGATAACGTGTCAGATACACAAGCAGTAAACAGGAACAGACCAGAGAAGGAACAGCCTTAATTTAACCAGCAACGAGGGGTCAGAGGTCAAAGTAACAGTGCAACATATGCTGGTTAACAATTCAGCCATCTTCAGTTATAGCTACAACAACAACCAGTGCATGAACATACAAACCAGAAACTCTGACTTCACGTGTGTGATGGCGGTTTTTGTGTTTAAACGTGTATGTGTCATTGTGTTTATATACTATATTTTGTTTATATGTGAGACAGTAGTGTTTGAAGACTGAACTCACATGGCTGGTTAGCAAACACTGCAAAGCAAACCAGATTGTTTACACTGTGTAAAACGGTAGGGACGTGTTGGTCACCAGCTCAGGAAGCTCAAGAGAGACAATTTATGCATAAAAAACGAAATTGCATGATTACAAATGACACACAAAACGTTTTCCTCCTCACGAATGTTTCGACTTGTTTGGCTCACTCTGTACTGTAACCGAACCGCAGCGTTAGCTTCCTAGCTAGCCAAGGCATTCAGGCGATGTTTACATGCTTCAAACTGCTAACGTTACGCTGCTGTCTTGGTGGGGGTCTAAACATTATATACGTTTATCTAGCCGTAAACAAGTTAAACTGGTTTAAAACGAATCTTAAAAGTGAAACTCATACTGTAGGCTGCAGAAACAAACACCCTGCATGGCGTCCGCGTGAGCTGCAGCACGTGCTCCACGGAGCTCCAAAACAAACAGACAAACAAACAAATAAAGAAAACCGAACAACACTTACATCCGCGGTAGCTGCAGTGGGGGAGCGCCTCGCCTCAGAAACACGCCGTCCACGAACACCCCGTTTTTGCCGAGGCAGCGCAGGTAGAAATCCCCTCCTCCGCCGCCGCCGGAGTCCTCGCCCGCCGCGAAGATCTCGAGGTGCCGCCGCGAGATGAAGCTGGAGTGTCCCATGCTCACGTCCACGGAGCCCTGCGACGAGTTCCGACCGATGGTCACCGACCGCTTCTTCATCAGGTATTCGAACTCGCGGCCCTCGAGCCGGGCCACCGCCGGCCCGGACAACCCGCTAACCACCGCCATGTTAACCAACGGGACTCGGGCGGCGCGTGACTGTCCTTTCGAAGCGCTTCGAACGTGGAATGACGGGTTTTAACGGCCGACCTTTTCGTTCGTTTTTAACGGTGGAATTTTTCTGAAAAATACATTCAAATTGTAACGGACAAAATTTTGAAATAATGACCGCTTAACGTTCCACACGCACACAGCGGCTCGACCCACCGCCGCGCTACAGAGAGAAAGGGAACGAGCAGCAGCCAATCAGACGACGGGAAGGGGCGGGATCTGCGTGACTGGCGTCCCCGCTACCCAATCAGCTGACAAAGTCCTAATGCGGTCATTCGACGGGCACCAATGGGACGAGCGACAGGGGCGGTTTCGCGATGGTTTGAAGGTCGGTTGCCCTGTACATCAACACGCATGTGTGTGGGGTGCAGATAAAACATGGAATAGGAGTTTAAAAAAAATCCGGGATTCGGATTTATGCCAAGTCACGGCAGTGAATTGACTTTAGAAAGGGAATATAACCCGTCGTAATTATTTAGTTCCATACGTTTAAATTAAAATTATTTATTGTAATTTTCAAACGATAATACTTCGACTTCTACTCAACTACAAAGTTATATTTACATGATTAGGAAACTGGGGCGTGACGTTGTTTTCACATTTCCAACTAATGCACTGCTTAAAATACACTTCATTTGATATGCAAACATTGATATGCATGCACTAATTAATAATACAATTCATATTAATAATAAGGAGAAGATCAAGAAATAAGTCCCCACCAAAACATAAAAAGTCACACTAACCCACTATATGTCAAATAAAAATGATATGATAATGATAAAGATAATGGTAACATGAACACTTTACCATAAAGTGGGTTTAATTTCTTTCTGTTAGTTTAAATTCTGTTCTGTTGGTTTCAGCAATTGAAGTGGTTTGCTTTTGTTTACATAAATACATTTACTTTTCTTGAGTCATTATTTCATTGAAGCCAGGACACTTTTGTTCCAGTGTGGTTTAAGTTTGCTGTGCTCACTTTTAAGACGTTTTGCATTTTGAGCAAGCACATGTAAATAACCTCTAGCTCTGGTTTGTCTTTCCCTACTTCAGTTCTGAGTTTAATGCCAAAAATGTGGACGATAATTTTTCAGGGCCGATTCCCGCATCTCCAGCTTTAAAATATAGTCTAAAAATCAATATTATTTCTAGTGGATGAGTTTGATTCGTCTCTAGAGTCTATCATCTTCCAGAAACTCCACTCCGTGTTTTCGCGGCGCCTGCCTCTGCAGCAGCTGGAGCGCATACCTTCGGTACCCACAATCCCCAGCGCCGGTGAACGTGTTTTGGCGAGGTGAAGAAAATGTTCATATGTGCTCGAGAGACGCGCTTCGAACACGATTCGGCGTAGTTGGTGAATCATATCAGTTACAGCTCTTCATTCCTCGCTGTTTAAGGCAGATTTTCTTGGTAGTGGCTCAGAATCGAGTTATGGGCTCCATTCAGATTGAACATGTGCTTCTTTACCGGTGACGTCATCCGGGCTGATGCCACGCCCCGGGTGTTTGTAAACAGAGAGGAGCGCGCGTGGGGTTGGGGGGTTGAGGTTGTTGATATGGTTGTGGGGGTCGGAGGGGGGAAGTGTTTTGGATGGGGGTTTGCAGGCGATCGCACGCAAGTGTTCACACCGCATGACAAAAGATCAGTTAGTATGAGGTTATTGGCAGCATGAAGAAAGTTTTTCAGCCGCTTTGGTGGCATCAAAAGCGTGAAACCACTTTCTTTGCTGTTCTAGGTGCGATTGACACGTTATGCAGAAAATGGGCTACTATATGTAAGCAGTGGTCGAACTGGGGAAAAAAATAAGGGGGATGGTGAGTTCAAACAGCGTGGTGCGGAGTGGAGACTTAGTTTGGAGTAAAGATACATCGCAAGAAATTGGATGTGTAAATCTGAAAAACTGACAATTAAAATACAGTGTAATAGTGATATAAATTAAATGAGGAAGAGATGCAAAGAAGGGGAGGCTGTTTTAAAACGGATTTATTCTATCTGTCTGTCTGTCTGTCTGTCTATCTATTTATCTATCTATCTATCTATCTATCTATCTATCTATGTAATGACATCCCCATGCCTCCCCTTCAAATTCACTTTAAATAGAGTGCTATAAAAAAGTATTTGAGCCTCATCTTGATCTCCTCCATTTTTGCATATTTGTCACAGTTTTATGTTATTACATGATTACATAATTTACTAAAGCAAAAAGTGCATTTATAAGTGTATATAACAATTAATACGTATACACACTTATATTGATAATTAAGTGTATATAAGTATTAATGTAAGTATTTATACCCCCGATTTGAGAAGAAAAGGAACATTCAGACATTTACTGTATGCATATATATATATATATATATATATATAGTATATATCTTAGTATTATTGCACTATTCATGTATGCACCAACAATTACTATACAAGTGTACTCTGCATACTTATCATTCTGTGTGGAGTCTGCATGTTCTCCCCGTGTCTGCGTGGGTTTCCTCCGGGTACTCCGGTTTCCTCCCACAGTCCAAAAACATGAGTCAGGCCAATTGGACATGCTAAAATTGCCCCTAGGTGTGAGTGTGTGTGTGAATGTGTATGTCTGTCTGTCTGCCCGGTGATGGACTGGTGACCTGTCAAGGGTGTATCCTGCCTTCCGCCCAGTGACAGCTGGGATAGGCTCCAGCACCTGACCGCGACCCAGAAGGATAAGCGGTTTAGATGATGTATGTATATGTATGTATGCTGCTCTCACAGGACATACTACCTCAGTGTACGCTCTCCACTCACTCTATATATATTTATATTATATTATATTATATTATCTATATTTTTTTACCACTATATACCGTCCTTCTGCGCTTTATATGTAAATAATACCATATTTTGCACTTCTGGTTAGATGCTAGCTGCATTTCGTTGGCTCTGTACCTGTACTCTGCACAATGACAATAAAATGAAATCTAATCTACTCTAATCTAATATATACACATCCGGTGTATATATACACAGATCAGGCATAACATTATGTTATGTTGTTTCTACGCTCATTGTCCATTTTATTAGCTCCACTTACTATATAGGTGCACTTTGTAGTTCTACAATTACAGACTGTAGTCCATCTGTTTCTCTGCATACTTTGTTAGCCCCCTTTTACCCTGTTTTTCAGTGGTCAGGACCCCCATGGACCCTCACAGAGCAGGTACTATTTGGGTGGTGGATCATTCTCAGCACTGCAGTAACACTGACATGGTGGACGAGACGATAGCTCATCTGTTGCTGCACAGTTTGTGTTGGTCATCCTCTAGTCCCTCATCAGTGGTCAAAGGACGCTGCCCACAGGATGCTGTTGGCTGGATATTTTTGGTTGGTGGACTATTCTCAGTCCAGCAGTGACATTGAGCTGTTTAAAAACTCCAGCAGCACTGCTGTGTCTCATCCACTCAGACCAGCGCAACACACACTAACGCACCACCACCACATCAGTGTCCATGGGGGTCCTGACCACTGAAGAACAGGGTAAAAGGGGGCTAACAAAGTATGCAGAGAAACAGATGGACTACAGTCCGTAATTGTAAAACTACAAAGTGCACCTATATAGTAAGTGGAGCTGATAAAATCGACAATGAGCATAGAAACAAGGATCATAATGTTATGCCTGATCGGAGAGAGAGAGAGAGAGAGAAAGGGAGAGAGAGAGTTGTATGGCACTAGAGAACACTAGGGAGCGCTGTTGCACTGTTTTTACATTCATGACCCTGAAGTGACCTGGACGATGGGCAGGTCTTACAAGGGCTATGTGGAAATACTTTTTATACAAGCACTATAACACGCACGCAAACACGTGCCTGTATGAGAAAACATCTTACAATGTAATGGCAAAATTGTACTTTGGCATTTCTGATAGTGAAGCTTTAGGTTTACTTTAAGTCTTCCACTTTTCTGCCTGATTCCATGATCTTCATTATGGAGAAACCTATCCAGCCTGCAGAGTGTTCAGTTATTAAAAGTTAGAGTTTAGAAATCAATATCTGACACTCCAGAATGGCTGCCGCATAATTGCATCAGAAAGCTTTTAGTGGTCTTTTCTGAAAGCCTGTCTGAACTCATGGTGGACGCTGGACCCGAGAGGAACATTATGGCTTTCTACAGGATTATTACTCAGGTCCTGAAATGTTTTTAACGGCCTGTTCAGGAAAACATGGTGTTGATGGCTTGGACTGCAGCTCACATATTTTGCATGGGAATACCTCAATGTTAGTTTCCCAATCCTACAGCCTGTGAACTTGAATTGAGTGTAATAGGAAAGTGGTTGATTCAGTTGGTGTTGAATTGAACTGAATTCGCCGTGTTTAGATGGTGTGAGCAGGTTGCTTTGCTGAGTACAAAACAGCTAATTCAGCATGTGTTCCTTGTTTTTTACATTTTAGAGGGGAAGTGTAAGTGAGCAAGGCAGAACGAGAATGAGGGGAGGGGAGAGAGAGAGAGAGAGAGAGAGAGAGAGAGAGAGAGAAATACAGTTTTAATTGACAGAAAAAGAGATGGAAAAACAATGACAGCTACTCAGAAAGGAAGAGACAATAAGATAGCAAGAGAAAAAGACAGTAAGCAAGACAAAGAAAAATGAAAAGATGTACACAGAGAGATAAAGTAAGCAAAAAAGAGGGAGACACAGTAAGAAAGATACAGTTAAAGATAAAGAGAGGAATACAGTGAGAGAGAGAGACAGATACACTCAGATTGAGACAATTGAAATGAATGAGGTAGAAAAAGAAAGATAGGGAGAGACAGAAGTACAGAGGTATGGTAGGAGAGAGATAGTAACAGATATAAATAGAGTGAGAGATAAACAGAGTTATACAGAGATACAGTGAGATAGAAAGATACAAAGAAAAAAGGGGTAGAAAGAAATGGATACAATAGGGGAAAGACAGATGGAGTAGGAAAGAGAAAGAGAGAGGTACAGAGTGAGATACAGTAGAGAAATAGAAAGATACAGTAAGAGAGAAAAAGAGAGAAGAAAGACAAAGTAGAAGAAAGAAAGGTGTCTGAGAGACACAATAAGAGAAAGATAGAGACAGAGATAAAGAGATACCGATAGATAGATAGACAGACATACTAACTGGTTTTGCCACCCTTGGCAGCAGGTGTAGCCCCCTCTTCTTTGCTGAATTATTTTAATTCAGCTACATTGAAGGG